CCCCAAAACCCCAAAACCCCAAAACCCCAATTTTATAATACATTATTGAATAATAAACCTATAAAATGATCAAAAGAAAGCGCTCTTCTCTTCCAAGTTTGCTTAAGAAGCAGTCCAGAGCGAGGTGAAAGGTTGGCAAACCCTTACCTAGGATCAAAACTAGTAAGTCCATACTTCATATGACTTTATTTCTTCATTTTTTATTAGACAGGTCTCAGGTAGTAGTAATCCCTTAGGTTTTTAAATACAAATTTATATACCACTTAAAGGTTTATAAAACTTATTCTGAGGGGATACTTTTCATCTGAGAGTAGTATCGCAAACCGGATTTCTAAGAAACCTTCCATCTTCTAAACCAAAATGAAATCCAGTTCTACCCGACTTGATATAAATATTTCTACTTTTTATGGTGAAGCGGAAAAATTTCTCATTTATGAGGTTTTAGATGTGCTAATTCTCATTATTTTTAGAAAATATGAACAAAATCAAAGAAGAACTTAATCGGAAGCTAGATGATATTTAACCAAGACGATACTGTTTATTGAGACTTTGATGATGAAGCAATACAGAAAAGAGGTAGCTGAAAAAGAAGAGACATTCAAGCATATCAGTTTACCAATTCCGTTGCTTACTTTAATGTTCTAAGGCAAGACAATAATACAAATAAAAACTATCAAAAGCTCTCATTTAACATCAAATTACTTCAGCAAAGGATGAAAGGCACTAGGTTTACTTCCAGAGCTGATAGTCTCCCTCATCAGAAAGAAGCTAGAAAGGGGCATTATCGAAAACTCAGAAGCAGCGTCTGAGTTGAGGAAAGAGGTCTCTCAAGAATGGTTCCCTCTCTTGCTTCTACAGGAAAAGCCCTGCGTCAGACTCTCATATTCGAAGAACATTTTCCTTCGAAGAAACTCTATACTTCTTAGATTCAACTACAAATTTAGTTTTAGGGGTTTTGGGGTTTTGGGGTTTTGGGGTTTTGGGGTTTTGGGGTTTTGGGG